GTTTTTATTATTTATTTCAACTCTTTGATACCTGTTTTTGAGGTATGATTTGATCCATTCATTAGCTTTGCCAGTTATTCCATAGAAATTTAATTTCGATAGTAAGATATCATGATTAACACAATCGAAAGCTTTTGCTAGATCACAGAAAATCCCTCCCACAATTAATCTGTCATTGAGAGCACTTAAAATATCGTTAGTTAGTTCATAGGTTGCTTTTTCTGTTGTTAGGTCTTTCCTAAATCCAAATTGCTCTTTGACTAATATGTTGTTAGAATTTAAGTGTTCAAGTAGTCTATTATACATAACTTTTTCAAAGACTTTTGAGAATGAAGTCAATATGGATATTGGTCTGTAATTAGAGATGCATTTTCTCTCTCCTTTTTGAAAAAGTGGTTTCATTACAGCGTATTTTAAGCGTTGAGGGAAAGTACCTGATGATAAAGATTTATTACATAGATGATTCAAGGGTGAACTGATGTAAACATACACAGAACATCATCACAATAGAGGTAGGGTGAGGAGCCTACAGATAGAGGGCATATGTGAGTACAATGAAGTGAACAAATGTATAAAATCAAAATATAACAGAATTAAAAATAATAGTATGTCCTTTATGTAGTACAGATGAGAACTGCAGCAATATATCGAGAGCTACATACACACACACACACACACACAAACACACAAACGTCTGTGCCACTGTGCAAGTAATGCAAACAAAGAAAATGTACACATTGGTGTTAGAATAAAGAAATGACAGACCCCAAGCAAAATACTGAAAAATTTAAACTAAATTTTAACTAGACTTTATTGAAATTTTTATCGATTTTAATAGAATCCATTTTAAATTAGGACATATTGCATTCATATGTGATAGAAGAAGTGGGATATACCACAGAGTGAAACAGTTTTTGGCAAAAGAACACCTGTTGATGGCCATATTTGATTGAAACCTGTTGTGAAAGTGAAAAGGAGAAGGAGAAAATAATTTTCATTGTGCACAGAGGTATAGTTTGTGAAGAATTACTTTTTGTGGTTCCAGGTTGTTTTCTGTAATTTGAGGGATAAGAAAATTCTTTGTCATGTTGAGGTACGCAGCTTTATGGCAGTATTTTCTATGAAAGTAGTGGGCAGTAAACTTGAAACTACTAAATTCACAAAACACGTTTGTTTTGGAGCTCAACAAACCTGTTCCATAGTAATGTGGACTTCTCACTTACCCAAATTTTTACATTTTGTTCAGTCACTTTTTCCAGTTCACTAAAAATTAACTAAAAATTACATGTTTAGGCAGTAAAACTGTGGGAGAGACAGGGAAAGCAAGCAAATAGAGAAAATGAGGAAGAAATATATGGAAAGAAAGACATAACTGACGCTATTCGATTCTTGTCAAGAAAATATAAAGATTGAACCTTGAAAGGTGACATGAAGACAATCTCTGACAGCTACTAGAATATGATTAAATAAAAGAGTTGCATATATGACAAACTTGACTGAAGGAAGAACAGAGGTACAGCTCCAATTAGAACAAAGATACAGTCAAGCAGCAGTTTTGATAGTGACTGCTGATTGTCATTTTTAAATCAGCAGCACACAAGATTTAGTCTAGCATTGTTTTTTAAAGTTCTCAGTGAATGCAAAGGCTTTTGTGAAGTGAGGAAACACAGAATACTGTGTCAAGCTGTTGAAATTATGGGAGATAAAAATAGAGGCAGACATTTCCTAGAAGAAAATATTTTTTAAATTAATGAGCCTGTTAGAAAATCAGTGCTTGTTTTCCCTTGCATTTGCAGGGGATGTTATGAATGCCCAATATTTGATGGACTGAAGGAAAGTGGAGACTTTATTAGTGGGAGGCCTGTAGTCTTGATGTTGTGCTCAGATGCATTCATTACTTACACTATACGCACACACCTAGACACTGTATCCTAGTCAGATAACAATTAGTTACACTATAGAAGGGTATCAGGCAGCATATCATGGCTTAAATCTGAGTCTGTTTAGATGAGAAGGAAGAATGCACACATTTGTGTGTGTNTTTTTTTTTTTTATGCTGGTACCAAAACACGTAGCTATTTCTGTTATAGCATATTTATGTAGTTATCGTATTTATAAATTGGAAACTGTGGCTTCTTATATATGTTGGTGTTCAGAATAGTGAAATCAAGTACTTCCAAGGCTATACAGTGAGTTAACCTCTTTGCCTCCTCTTTTGCGCAGTGCTGTCAGCTCATGCTTTACTGCCACAGACACATGCCGCTTGTTGGTTTGCCCTGTGATGTAATAAACAAGTGGCCATGTTCTTCCTGCTGTTACATTGTGACTTGAATTGTTATCTTTTATTCATTATTGACAATTTTATAATATTTGTTACAGTTTATGTTTTGCATTATATTGTTGAATTCTGTGTGATGTGATTTCTGGCCTATGTTTAGGATCAAGCTGAAATGTTCTATATTGTTACAAAGACATGGGCAGAGAAGACTGAAAGTCAAATGTGAGAAGTGAGAAAAGCAGACTATTTATAATGTTAAAGCTTTTGAAAACATTTCTGATTATCATGATCATGTTGCACATAACTATATAAATTTCTACAAACTTCAAGATATAACAGAAGGAGAATGTAATGTACATCATACAGTATGAGAAAGCATTAAAGCTTTGAATTTTCCATAACACAGTCAGGTATTTTGTCTCACAGGGAAACACACATAAAGGAAACATAATTTTTAGGTAGTCATAGTGGTAAGTATTCAGATTGTGATCTGAATTATGACACAGTGCAGTCTTGGAGGTGGATATCACCATGGGAATATCCACTTCCATGAATACATGTTGTCAACCCAGAATATCAGGCTGAACACTTACCGCTGTGGATATCTGAAAGCTTATATCCAGCCCTCATCTTCACAATAATCACCTTCACCCTGAAGGTGGAAGGAAGCACCAAGGACCTCTGAAGCTTTGATATCTATATGATTGATATTGCCCACTATCACCGTTATAAACTGTGTTCCGTGAGGTCAGAAATTATTGAACACTTCAAAGATAACAGAATAAGCATTAGAGCCAAGCTAAAGCTACTTCTTTGTCATCAAGTTAGTATTTCTGTTTCCTGTTCAGGAGGAGCTGGTTTCAGATCTCTGCCTGGAGATCAGTTGTCCTAACTTTTTTTCTTTCTCTCTTTCTTTTTGTGGTTTTATTCTTTCTCTCCAGGCGAATACTCTTCTGTTCCTCAGATTATATTGTAACTGCTTATTTGCAGGTGCTTTCCAAATTCTTACTCAATCATATCATCATTTGATGCTGTATAGTCTGAACAACTAACTGTGCTGTTTAAATAAAGGATAACCAAATAAACAACAGACCAGTTGGGAGTAGCTTCAGCATGTTCATATCTCTAAGGGTTCAAAAAATTTTCTGAAGTATGCCAGGTCATGAATAAATTGAGTCACCAGGTCACCATACCATTTCCAGCATAATTTGATAGAATTAACATGGGCTCCGGTGAAGAGGGTAGTTTCCAGAATAACCAGAACTTTTCAGTTGGCAGGTAATATGCTACTTGTGAGTTAGGCTATTGACAGAATAATAATTGAAGTATAGAGAAATGTGCAACGCATGCAGAGGAGTTACAGAGAATACATTTTGTAAAGGAATGTGGCAGAGAGACAATACTCTTGAACCCATAGTGCCACCAAAACAGGTGGTAACAACGGTAACACCGATTGGTAAGAAGAATGTGGGATTAAGAGTATATAGAGACTTTATTACTTCAGGTAACAACTTTCATAGTGAGGAAATATGGACACACAGGTAGAGGAGTTAAAGTTGTCCCTACGTAGCATACCTTGAAGACATATGGTGGTGTTGAGGTATAGTTAGTTACAGAGACTCTTAACCTCAGCACTAAATATACAGAGTATTTCAGAAGGTGTACTTATGACTTTGAGGAGTTATAAGGAAGATTATGTGGAGCAGAAAATATAAATAATTATTTTTCTCATTCATGACCATTTTTTAGTTACAGTACTTCAAAATTTGCAATATCTGTCTGAAAGCTGAGCAGTGGTTTGTGATTGCGGTTGTTGTACCACTAAGAGCAAGTGAAAGCTGAACAGTGGTTTGATAATTTCAGTTGCTGTACCACTAAGAGCAAGTGAAAGCTGAGCAGTAGTTTGGTGATTGCAGTTGCTGTACCACTAAGAGCAAGTGAAAGCTGAGCAGTGGTTTGGTGATTGCAGTTGCTGAACCACTAAGAGCAAGTGAAATCTGAATAATGGTTTGGTGATTGCAGTTGTTGTACCACTAAGAGCAAGTGAAAGCTGAACAGTGGTTTGATAATTTCAGTTGCTGTACCACTAAGAGCAAGTGAAAGCTGAGCAGTAGTTTGGTGATTGCAGTTGCTGTACCACTAAGATCAAGTGAAAGCTGAGCAGTGGTTTGGTGATTGCAGTTGCTGAACCACTAAGAGCAAGTGAAATCTGAACAATGGTTTGGTGATTGCAGTTGCTGTACCACTAAGAGCAAGTGAAAGCTGAACAGTGGTTTGATAATTTCAGTTGCTGTACCACTAAGAGCAAGTGAAAGCTGAGCAGTAGTTTGGTGATTGCAGTTGCTGTACCACTAAGATCAAGTGAAAGCTGAGCAGTGGTTTGGTGATTGCAGTTGCTGAACCACTAAGAGCAAGTGAAATCTGAACAATGGTTTGGTGATTGCAGTTGCTGTACCACTAAGAGCAAGTGAAAGCTGAACAGTGGTTTGATAATTTCAGTTGCTGTACCACTAAGAGCAAGTGAAAGCTGAGCAGTAGTTTGGTGATTGCAGTTGCTGTACCACTAAGAGCAAGTGAAAGCTGAGCAGTGGTTGGTGATTGCAGTTGCTGAACCACTAAAAGCAAGTGAAAGCTGAACAGTGGCTTGGTGATTGCAGTTGTCATACCACTAAGAGCAAGTGAAAGCTGAACAGTACTTTGATAGTTGCAGTTATTGCACCACTAAGAGCAAGTCTAGCATTGCGGCAAATGTGCTGCACATTAGAAACATTGACATATATTTCTTAAAATAAATAAATTGTTAAAAGAACTTAGCTATCACAATAGTAGTTAAGAATTTCGCTATATTGCTCTTAAACAAACCGCGAGTCACTCGAAAATTTCGTCTGGAAAGATATAATTCTTTCCCAAATGTTCTTAAGTTCATCCAGTGTGAGAGGATTATTTGTATGCAGATTGTGTTTTAGGCGCCCCCGTAGATAATGATCACAAACATTAAAGTCTGGAGACCTTGCAGGCTACGGTCTGTGGCATAATCTGTCTTTATAAACACATAGTTCAATTTGAATAGCATAATGATCAGATGTGTACTGTAGCACCATCATGCATAAACAACCAAATGTCTTTTTTCCTTTGATAATGCTCTCAAGACATGGCAGGAATGTCATGAACGTTCTGCTTTTGAAAAGCGCATCTCAATCAGTGATTTACTTCAATGGAACATACAGTGTTTGTCTTTGTTTTCACTGCATTTTGTGGTCTTGCACCAAGATGTAAATCTCTTTATTGGATATAGCTTGTCACTTTCTGTAGTTATTTAATGAAATGCATGTATTCCTGCTAATAATGCCAGGCTACAGCATATACCTTCCTGAGCAGCATAAAAATATAGCTCAGGGGATAAGTTGTGAAGTATATAGAATATTTATCTGTAAAGGTGTATTTTTACATGCAGTCTGAACAATAATTCAAAATGCAAGTAAATATTATTCTTTTTTGACATAATAACATTTCAGAACAAATGAGTTACAAGGATATCATTGTATTAACAAAGAACTGAAAAATGCAGTGGGCGGGCCATCTCATTAACTGAAGATGAAAATGTTAGAGCAGGTTGAAGTGAGAAGTTCTAGGCTGTTAGAACATTATATTATTTTGCCTTGGCCTTGAAGCTTTTAATTTCATAATGTCATTGGAGTTATGCATATGATCAGTTTTACATGTTTCTACAAGTAGGTACTGCCAGCAGCAACAGCATTTGATAAAAGGCTAATGGCTATTTAATTTCTGATTTAAAGAATAGCAGGTAGTGAATCATCATAGCTAAGGAAGTGAAATTTGACTTGGTACGTGTTGTAAACATTCCTGCAGTTCTTTTTATCATTAGAAGTAGCAGTGTACTGATGGTGCAAGCCTTTGAGATTGGGTTTCAAAACTGGCAGTTATTTGGAAACCTATTGTAGCTGAAGTGCAGTAGTTACATGCTCTGGAAGTTTGAAGGAATGAAGGCTTTGACAGTTTATCTCATTGTTTCTTGTATTATTATATGTCACTTTTGAACAGCTCATGAATCAGGTTGGCAATGTGACACTGCATCTGGAAGTTTCTAACTCAGCCTGTGCCAGAGCACTATCCTCATTGAGATATTCATGCTTTTTTTCACCCCTTCCCCTTAGATGCCCGAATAATACCATAAAGCAGGCCATGTTTACTGAATTTCCCATCTTTTCCACTTTATAAACATAGTGAGTCTTCTGAGTTATGACACCTTATAGTCTGTTGATGGATACCAACATTTCAATATCTGCCAACAAGACTGCATGGTGTCACAACCCGGAAGACCACAATATGAACACTGTAAAACTGTAAAACACTGTAAAAACCTTAAAATTTATTTTATTAGCCAGTTCAAGATATCCCCTGCAGTTTAACTTCTACATATATCAGACATATTCCGTTGTTTCATTAGTGCTTAAATCTCTGGAATTGGGGTTAAAAATTAGCTCCATGTGATGTACCCAACAGAATAGGTTTCGTGATTTTATCTGATGATGGAAGCAGGCCAGTTCCCATAATGTCCTGTTGTTTTACTGATGAGAGACACTGGAAAATGGCACACATATTTATTGGTGTAATGACTTTCCTTCATCATAAACCTTTAAACTGACCTTTGTAGTTGAGACAACATTGTTGAATAACTAGCAAACCAACTGACCTTGAAGACACTATTTTGCAACTTCCAGTTATATGATTTACCTCTTCTTGCCATGTCAGATTATGTTTCTCTATGGATGAGATTTCAGTGCCACATGATAAAGGTTTCTTGTAGATGATTTGTTTTGCACGTAACTGTGTCACTTTCAGATATGTGTACCCACTTCTTGTTTGATAGGTGTCAGTGAAGAAAGAGACTGGAAATTTGGTGGACTTTAACAGCAGAAAGGCTGACCAGAATGGTGTTCAGGATGACAGAGCAAGTGGATCTCCATGCAGTGAAAAGAGCATGGATAAAGAGACTCAGGAGATGGTTGCTGCGTTAGAATTGCGGATCAAAGAGGAGCCTGAAGATGAGGAAGATGAGGAAGAGGAGGAGGAGGAGGATGAGGAAGAAGAGGAAGGAAACAGAACAGAAGGAGAAAATGATATACATGATAATGGCCTACATATGAATGGCGAATCTTACAAATTTAAATCAGGTGAGGCTTTACTCTTAGTGGCGTGTGAATTTTATTGTCATTCCTTCAGTGCAAAAAATCACTTTATACACACATCCTAGTTACACGTAACTCGTTTCAAGAATGGGTTCTGGTAATAAATTAAGAAGAGCAAAATGATTCGTAGAATTAGTTTGAGAACACAAAAACATTTCAGTTTTGTAATGCCCATGACAAGTTGACTGAGCACAATACTGGAAAGGATACTGGTAATGAGAAAATTCAGATTATACTTAATATTAGTAAGATGTTCCTTGTAGAATATGTAGCACTTAGGGCTTTAATTTGCTTGCCTCAAAGTTTAAATTCTACTCAGTCAAGAGATGTCTGTGTGTGATTCTGATTACTAATTGAACTCTGAGGTTTTTTTAATAGTCTGGCATCCCATTCAAAACTAATCATATAAAATAATGCAGGAAAATAACAAATGTGGAATGTTTTCAGTATGTATTTGTTATAATGTTTACTTCATGTTTTATATTCCTTAATCTGTAATTTTTTAAGTGATTCTGGTCTCTGAAGCAAATTGATATTCTGGTTGTGAAATTTATACCCTAGTGTTTTGAATTTCACAGAAATTTACCACCTGTACCATAAGTAAGTACATCATTGCAAGGAAGTATTTTTAGGCAATGAACTAGGTGAATAGGAGTTAGTATCTTACATTTTGGAGACTGTACCTCTTCATCATCAGAGGTTGATGTGTCATCGGATCAATCTCTGATGATGGTTATGTAGACAGTCTGTGAAACATCAGATATGAACTCCGTATTTACATGGCTGATCACCCGAGAAGACAGTGAAAGCTTTTGATATCCCCCCTCCCCCCAGAGATTTTACCTTTATTCCTAGGAAGTTCCCTCATTTTCTTCTAGGTTTCTCCAGGAAAACACGAAAAATATCAAGTAATGTCTTCATTTTCTTAATTAACTGTTAATGTCCATAAATTACATTGCAAAAGTACTTGACATAAACCTATTGAATTGCACTTAATAGCACATCATTGTTTTGTGGATCAGGTAGAAGAAATGAACGGGGTAACAAGTCATCAGAACATGGAAGTGCAGAGGATGTGAATCAGGATCAAGGACTTGACATGTCAGTTGAACGGAAGTTGAAGGAAGAGGAGGCATTTGGAGAGGAGAAGCAGAATGGTACAAACCTGACTCCTCATGAGTCAGATAATGAAGGGAGTAATTGTGAATCGACAGTATGCAGCGCAGATGATGAGGCAGTAGGGAAGTGGAGAGCAGATGTCCGGTTAGTAGTTACCCAAATTAAGATGATAGACCAGCTTTGTTAATGAGATTTTTATAGCCTATGTTCCTAATAAAAGGAGTCTTGGAGATCATCTTGCTATTCTCCCCCCCCAATTGTTGCTGGGTAGTACCTCAGTAAACAAGTTCCCACAGCAGTGAATACACACGGAACAATAGAAGAATTGTTTAACGCATTCTTTTCTGTGCAGTCCATCTTGTATCAAATATTCAGTATGTAATGAAATGAAGGTAGGTGATTAGTTCTTCCCATGGTTTCATATTGCTGTTTTCTGGCCTATTCAGGTTAGTACCTCAAAACCAATGGTGACCATTTCCTCTTCATTTCTTTCTTACTGAAGTGTTCATTATGATTGTGCCATTTGTGCTTCAGTATACTCAGCATTTTGAAGAAATTGAGAAAAGGGGTTTATATGTGACAAAGTTAATAAGTGGTTTTGAGGCATTATTATTATTATTGAAGGGAGGTGGGTTTCCCCATGCACTGCAACTAGTTATTATTCTATTGTGCGTGCCCCTTTAATATTCTATCAGTCGCCATGCCCTTCCAGTACTGGTGCTCGCTATCAGCCCCGTTCTGCCAGTGAGGTCGGCCCTCTCTGGCAGTGGTCCCCGATACTTCCCCATCTACCGGAGGAATTGGAAACTACTTGGGCAGGAAACTTTGCCTAATTTTGCTCAGAGGTCTCCTAGAGACATGAGGATCTTTTACCTACTGTAAATCTACAACACGGGACACACGGCTTGAAGTCCCTCCCTGAGGACTTGTTCTCTGAATTTTTCCTCCCTTAAAAATTCCACGACCTCCGCCGGGTTTGAACCCGCGTACCTTGAGTCATGAGGTGGGAACGTTACCCCTAGACTACGGAGGCCGCCTGGTTTTGAGGCATAAGTGACTAATTGTGTCCTACAAATGCCCTACGTGTTATGTTGAATCCTGAAATGTTAACATCAAAAGGGTCCAGTGGAAATGTCTTGTGTCAATGAATGAGTGAGTTAGTGAGTAAAATTGCATTATTTTGTGTCCTANGCCTTTTTACATTCAAAATCCTTTTATACTTTGGATGAATATTTTGGTTGTATAAATGAGTAGTAATTTACTATGTTCATTCAATATTGCATGCATTGTTTGGATGTGCAGTTGTACATTCAAGGATATTGCACTGATACCTGCATTGTATATAGCAAGCTTATACCTTGACTGGTTTTATTTGGTATTGAACATGTAAGATATAATCTCCAACTTGACTGGTATGCCCTGTAACAAACATACCTCGTTGTAGTTGATGGATGTTGTGATCTTTTATGGTTTGAGATATATAAGCTACTAAGTTGAATGAATTTATTATGTAATGTGTTTTTATTACAATTTTAACTTATTTTATTTACAATTAAACATGGTATAGTGTTATGTATATTTTAGGTTGATGTATATTTTATGTTGACTAGTTCCATTGTTGGAGCATTTGTTGAAGATATTTGACTTGTTCTGTGTCCAGTGGTGTTGGCCTGTAATTGGATTTGCTTGAATGCAATAAATACTATACTATACTATACTATACTATACAGTCTCCCTCCCCCTAGTTTTGTTTTTTAAACCATGTGGGGGGATTATGAAAGTAAATATGGTTTCCCGATCGAGAAGGGAAATGAGAGTACTGATTATTGTTTATTTTCTCGGGGAGAAATGAATGCCTCTGATCATTATCTTAAACTGCAGACTCCTTACAGAATGTGCCTTTGCCATGACAAAAGTGTCCAGCTTTCTATCCACACTCTTAGGATGGCTTCCAGATTATGAGAAATATTTCTATTATTTTTCTCATTGTGTTTGGAGTGAAAGTAGTAAATTCTTAAAACAAGAAAAGCATTGAAATTTCCTTCACAGAGCATATATAATGCCTCCAGTATAAGACTGTAGCAAACAGCTGGGCTTCCATATTACTGCCTTAAAACTTGGAAGTGAAAAGGTATAGGAGTATCCTATATTCATGGGGAACTGACAGAAATGATACATATTTTGTTCTTCCACCTCTTATATCTTATAATAGGTGTTCTTTTATGGAAGATTGTTCCTTTTAAGGCCGTGTATGACATCATGTACAGATACAGATGTGTTACTGATTTTGTGATGGTGAGTATTAAATTGTTAAACATAGAAATGAATGAAACTAGCAGCTGCTGTGCAGGAGTTTACTCTGAATACAAAGGGCTCCTCTCGTAAGGTTACCTACTTGAAGTATGATGCACCTTCCAAGATCAGAAATACAAGGTTTATTACACTTGCATTATCATGCACAAGTTCCAGTTACTTGAATTCAGTTTACTTGATTCTGAAGGTGGTCACATTTCCATATTATTTCTGAAGTTCTTTCTTCATGCTGTAATGTAAACCATCAACTGCTTTCAGGTCAAGCTCTGATGAGAGTCATGATGTTGGAAGGAGACCTGTTGGAGAAGCCAGCAATCTCCTCAGAACCCTCATTTCCTGTCGGAAGTTAGGGATTACACCAACAGAAGCAGCAGCAAACAATCATGTTGTTCCTGTTGGTACTTCACTCCAGCATTCATTAAAATCCCGTAGTAAACTGTATTCTGCTATTCAAGGCTCCTCAGTTGTCCCTGAAACACTTGTGGAGGCCCACTCAGGAGCTGTTCTAGGAAATCGAACTAATCTTCCTTCGACAGAGGAGGTACCGTCCGCATTTACTATAGCTATGAAGTCAGTGGAGAAGGCTGCAAAAGCAAATGTGACTTTTGTAACAGTGACTAAACAGGATGGTAACAGAAGGAAGCAGAGCTGTCCATCAAAAGCAGATGCTTCTACAATAAGAAGAAGCCCCATTTCTCCATACGTTCACGGAGAAACATACCTACCAGACTTCACTGGCAACAGTCCTTGGTGTAACATCTCTGCTGTTAAGACAGGGAGGGTGAGTCATGTCAGTTTTAAAATACAGATTTGTTAAAATGTCTGCTAACATATTACTTTACTTTTGTTTATCTGAAAGGGAAGAAAGACTGCTGGATTGTTAACCTCACTTTGCTTCCACCCCCAATATATTATAATGCTTTACGGGTGACTGTAGATGAGGTATGGATTAGTGAATGGATTTATTGACCACTTACAGGTCATAACTACAAATAACTATAACACTGTCGCTGATTTCCACACTTTACAAATCACTACACTCTTAAGTCTTCTCCAGCTTTCAGTGTCTACGCTAGTCATTGCTTGATAATGAATCTTAACAATGGAGATTCTTCATCTTTTGTGCTCATGCATTTATTGTCTGGTGAATATCCCATAATTGAACTGTCAATTATAGCGCCATCTCTTCTCAGCCTCTCTAGCAGAACTCAGTTGTCAACTGACAATGTGAAAATGTGTTTTCTGATTTGTTACCTAGAAACAGCTGTTGTTTATTCACCTGTCCCACAACCATTGCTATGCAGTGTTATGTGTACACACATTGCCAGGCCACAGGTTGCGAAGCAAGTTCCCATGAAGACAGATTCTTGGTAAACAGTCCATTGTTAGGTTATGCAGCAATAGAGGAGGTTGTTTTTTCTGTGTTGTCTGTGTCATGCCCAGCGCTGGTAATGGACCATTGAACTTGCAGTCTGACACATGACACATGTCTTCTATAGGGTCCATTCCAAAAAATTATAAGAGGTTCCAGAATAAATGGCGTTCAGCTAGCCCTCTTTGCAGATGACAACTGTCTGTATGTGACAGATCGCAAGGAGGGTTTTGTTGCTAGAAAACTCCAGCGTGGTCTGAGCTCAATGGAGACCTGGTGTGAGCACTGGAATATGAAAATTAATGAAGATAAGACTCAGGGGATCTACTTCTCTCACAGTCATTGTCTACCTGTGTCTCATCTTACATTGAATGGGAGATATATTCCATTTGTAAATTGTGTAAAATATCTCAAATTAATCTTTGATAGGAGGGTTACATGGAGATTGCACATAGAAATGATTGAAGCCAAGACCTTCAGAACATTCATAAGATTGTATTCCCTATTCAAAAGTGAGCGATTAAGCGCTAACATTAAGCTGACCCTCCACAAAGCTCTAATTAGATCTGTAATGACTAGTTCCACCTGAGAATTCGCAGCAGATACCCGTCTAATGAAATTGCAGCATCTACAAAACAAGGTTCTCCACACCATTGGCAATTTTCCAAGGCACACACTGGTTCACGATATAAACATGGCTTTCAAAGTTCCATACGTATATGATTATGCAACAAAATTATGCAGGCAACAAGCAGAAGTCATACAAAATCATGATAACGAAAATGTTCACAATATTGAACAAGGCGAAGCCTGACATAGAAAGTGTAAGAGCCTTAAATTTGGCAGCAATCAAGCATATGACCATTCAAGTGACTAGACTGCCATTGTAGTGGAAGCTAGCAGATATAGGGCATAATCTGCTGTACTGAGCCTGGACTGACAGGCCCTGTATATATTTAATACGTTTGTTATCATATTTAACATGTATAATGTAAATACCCTTTACATTATGACAAATGACTTACTACTACAGACAATGACTCTGACAAAAGACAGACCTGTCCTCTTGTCAGAGAGGGCTCCCCACAATAACAAGACCTAAACTGTCAAACAGTAATAAATATCTGGTCATGAGCCCCAGATGTACCTCAGTCTTCTGTATCCTCACTGATTGTTGCCTGGTAATGGCTTTCAGTGGCATAGCTTCCTCAGTTTCCATGTTCATGTGTGGCCAGTGACTGTCTCACAACTGACTCCTGCTCTTCTAACTGCCCTCTCGAGACACTCTCTTAATCACATCTGCTTGTTATTATATAGCCTCAGAATGGACCACATAGAAAACACCTCTCCCAGCAGTTCTTCTATTTTTGCATCACATGGCTATTGCTCAAATTGCATATAGAACACCATTTCTCTGTTGCTGTTTATGGCTGTTAACTAGCAATCTCAGTGTCATTACTTAGTGACGTGTCTGCATGCTACAGTATATTATTTAGAGGAAATTCTGTTCTTATAGGGTTGCCATAGTAAAGTTTTTGTTATGACATTGGCTTTTTAATTTCTGTTGTTTTGTATATAGTTGGCAGCTCGACGAATGGACCTGTCATGCAGTAATTGTGGTACTATGACTACCACAATCTGGAGACGCAATCCAGAAGGTGAGATGGTCTGCAATGCTTGTGGGCTGTACTATAAACTTCATGGTGTTAATCGACCTGTTACGATGCGTCGTGACACCATACACACCAGACGCAGGCGGCCTAAAGGAGAGAAGGGCAGTGGACGACATAGGAACAGTATGTTTTTAGACAATATCCATTTTGTACTAAGTTGTGTTTCCTATCACATATTCTGAAATAGCAACATGCAAGTTAATCTGTACAAACAGTTTGCCGCCAAACTAACGCAACCTTGTCTTGTCTTCTTAAATGTGGGTGATTGGTGTCCATTAATTCAAACAAGATCTTTAAATGGTGTTAATTATTTTGAAATCATTTCCATTTTTCAGAGAAAATTTAAGCAGAATGTGCCATGTAATGTTAGTTGAGCTTATAATTATTGAGTATGAGACACATATATTTGCAGCCTTTATGAATGTACCATTTTTACTAGCATAATTTAAACACGCTTTTCACTCCAATAATTGTATCTGAAAGTTGTCCATAAAAGATGCAAGTATTATATTTTAGAGTATAGTTTATTGATTTTATGTCTTCTCAGTGGTTAATTATTGATTTTAGTTCTGTGCTTGGGTTGTTACACTGTGTGGTTGTGGCGAGTGTTGCTGTTGTTTCACAGTTGCATGCTGCGTGCATCTTTATGGTCAAAGTGCATAAATCCAAGTGTGATGGTGGAGGCCATGTATACCTCCAGAACATCGATAACATCGCCCACAACCACACAGCGTAACATCCCCAAGAACAGAACTAGCTGCAGAAGTACAATTGTCCATTATTAGATTGAGGTGATAATTGTTGAATTGATATTCATGCTTGAGGACTCCCATTAATGTCTAATCTTCATGGAAAGTGCAGTTAAATTTGGCATTTTAAGTTACAGTGTGGTATGGATATAAGTACCTTGATGCTCTTCAAGGAAGGGCATCGAGATAAAATGTCCCGCTTCAAAAGATTTCACATGATGCATAACTTTCACAGAATATGAAATCAAAGTTGTGTGTAATGTAACATCACAATATGGATATTCACACCTCCAAACTCCACTGTGTGATCCCTTGATGAACACTGGCCAACATCATTGTAATGGAAAATGCTATAAAATCGTAATGACACAGCACAGTATTGAAATTTAATTCCTGTTGTCCCCACCACCCAGTTTGTTGATGAGCATTGAGTTGAAAATATCTCATGATATAATTTCAATCAACATACAGTTTTCATGGAAAATACGATTAAGTTGAATATGATATGGAAATGCAGTATGGATATTTTTGTCTACAATCTCCACCACAATTCATTCATTAATTAACATTGAGACTGAAATGTCACTTGATAACTGATCATAGCATAATTTTCCTACAAAATTGAATGAAACCTTGCCCTATGCCATTCACCATAATGCATTTACCTTTGTTAACATTTTTTCCAAATGTTGCATGCCAGTTTAAGTTTTATCAAGTGTAAGAAAGGATATTTAATTTTTGTTTTCAGAATGTCTTGCCAAAGTAGGGGTGCATAAATTACGCTAGTAAATATGGTAGTTTGATGTTGTGAGCTGGTTCCATGTAATAGCCCAAAATGATATATCGGTTACACGTAATTGGTATAATTCAGTGATTTCCAAGTGTTTGGTGAATAGATTTCTGCAATGAAAGATCTGAATATGAATACCAGTTCAAAAAATTTGATTTCTTGTATCATTATCTCTTACCAGGAGCATGATTGGCAGAGTGTGAACTTGACAGAAAAGAGCATATCAGTTGTATTTCCTAACTTCTAATTGGTTCCTTCTTAAGGTTTTTTCCTTGGATGTAAAATTCGTTCTGAGTGTTTGTATGGTTAGATGTTATACCAGTTCAAGGTAATTGACTGGCATTACTTACAATTTCGCACTGACATATTTGTTACATTACTTAATTCTAATGCAGTTCAGTTATTCAAGAATCAACATTTTCGGTGTGTGGCTTAGTACGAGGGGCGTTCAAGTTCTAAGGTCTCCGATTTTTTTTCTCAGGACTGGGAGCAGATAGACACATGCAGTTTAGTTTAAAATACATGTGCACTCTTTGTGAATGTGTGACAGAGATGGCAGCACTGTACGGCACACAGATTTCTAGTGGTGGCAAGAGTGAGGAGTGTTTTTGATACCTAAAATGGCAACGTTTTCATTACGAGAACCGTGAGTAATGATTCGTTTTCTCCACTTGCATGGTGCGACACCCATTGAAATTCATCGCCAGTTGAGTGAGACATGTGGTGATGGTGTCATGAATGTGAAAAATATGCATTCATGGGTGTGACAGTTCAAAGAAGGCCAAACGTCATGTGACAATGAACCAAAAACAATCTTGGCCTGCACCAACCGGTCTGACAACATGGTCAAGCGAGTTGAGAAAGTTGTTTTGGAGGATCGCCGATTGAGTGTGGAAAACATCGCCTCCAAAATTGGCATTTCCGTGGGATCTGAAAAAATGATGGTGGCCATGCTTTGGGACAGCGATGGCATAATCCTTACTCATTGCATTCCAAAGGGCACTACGGTGACAGGTGCATCCTACCAAGATGTTTTGAAGAACAAGCACCTTCCAGCGCTGCAAGAAAAACTGTTGGAAAAGGCTGCACATGTGCTCTTTCACCACGACAATGCACCAGAGCATTTGGTGTATGCGATGCAGCAGTTTCTTTGTGAAAACAACCTTGAAGTGGTTTCTTATGCTCCCTACTCGCCTGGCCTGGCTCCTAGCGATTTTTGGCTTTTCCCAATGATGAAAGACACTCTCCATGGTCGCACATTCACCAGTCGTGCCGCTATTGCATCAGCGATTTTCCAGTGGTCAAAACAGACTCCTACAGAAGCGTTCGCAGCGGCCATGGAACCATGGCGTCAACGTTGTGAAAAATGTGTACAGCTGCAGGGACATTACGTAGAAAAGTGACAGAAGTTTCAAATTTTTTGTATGATTATTGTGTGAGAAAAAAATCGGAGACTTTAGAACTTGAATGCACAACGTACATTCAAGTTTTCCACAGTAAAGCGATATGAAACTGGAATTTCCTGATAACATTGTTGTAAAGATAATTAATATTAGATTCTGTGTCTGCATGCAAATGCACTAATATTCTAAATACATGTCAGTTTATACATAAAAGAGTAAGCTGAACAGAAATATTTCTCTCACTAACCCTTCAGTGCAGGCACTAAGATATCACACTTTTGGTTGGCCTGCAGTAATGTTTTGTGAATGCCCATTTCAATTTTGATTTAAAGTAATTTATTTTTCATAACTTTTGAACTGTTTGAGGTGTAGTAATCAAATTTTAGGCCTCACCATAGCTCAAGCGGTTAGTTGTTGGCTTCCCACCTCAGCGGCCCGGGTTTGATCTCGGGTCTGGTCAAGTGGGATTTGTGGTGGACAAAGTGGTGCTGGTGCAGGTTTTCTCCGAGTACTTCAGTTTCCCGTGCCAATCTTGATTCCACTAATCGCTCCAGAATCACCTTCACCTATCATCTGGGGCTGGTACAATAGGCCAGAAGTGGCCGCAGTGCAAGGAACTTAGTCCCACCCCACTAGCAATTAAAAAAATAATCAAATTTTCTCTGAAATCCTTTAGAAAAAGTTGAGTTATAGGCATCCTTATAACATATGCACACTGTGTATATGAGCAATGGAAGCAACTGAATTAGAAGTTGAAGTTATATGGTAGGTCTTGAAATATGCATGTGTAAACAACTTGCTAGAGATACACTAGGCCAGTAAATAGATTCTCTCCTTTCTTTCCCATGTTTTGTGTATGCTACAAATTTTTTCTTTTGAGATTTTGCCTTGTTTTGGTGGTAGAAATAAACTCCAAGAAATGTCATGCTTTGAGTGTTTTAGGTAGGGGTTCAGTTGATGGACCCCATGTACAGGCTGAGGAACACCGGAACTTTGTTTCTGTATGAGGTCTTATGCTAGTGAAAGCCTAAATTTTAGTGAATCTGTATTTATGTTATTTGGGATGGACTGATACAAGACCAGTGTGTTACATATCCTTACAGTAACTATAGCATTTGATCCATCATGTCCACCCCTAAGATGCTGACATTGTAATCACAAACAGCCACAGGCTTTGTTTGCTTTATTTATAGCCACATGCATATCATCTTTGTGGTATGTTGGTATCAGTGTTACTTGCTTCTTGTCTTACCAAACAAGAGCTTCCACATCTCTTGACCACAGTGTTCAAATTTCTTCAGTTATACATTTCTCCTGTTGGGACAAAAACTCCAACACAGTCTGTTTATTTAGACATCACAGAGTGAACTTTGGTGAATTATAAAAATTCTTCTTTCACACAGTTTTCTTACTCTTACTGAGCATGTCTGTTGGTTTAATCTACAATGAGTTGCACAAGAGCTATATCAAAAATGTTTTCAAATGCATTCACAACATCAAGTTCAGCAGTGTTGAACTGGGGACCTTACACACTATATATATTTCTTGCAATTTGGAAAATGAGCCTATATTTTTCCACACAAACTTATTTGACACCCCCCTCCCAATCCTTTGCTTATGCTGCTCACATGACTCTTTTTGATAATCTGTAACATCACCATGCAGATCCTGAAGGAGATGAACTTGATAGGGATGATTCCCTTTAGGAATATTCCAGATAGAAGTTCCAACTCCTGATAGTTGGCTTAACTTCTTCATTTACTTTTTTATCTGTTAATTAACTGAACACAGATTGTCATCCTTGTTTCTTTGTTGGTTATGCTGCAGGAATGATCAACACTTCCAGGTTTTATAGATGACTAATTAAACTTCTGACAGTTGATTGCTCAACTGGAGGTTGCTATGGATTATGTCTGTTAAATTCTTCCACACTTCATCATTGTCTAGCACCTCATACACCATGCATGAACGCTAACGCAACTCTTTCATATTTTGATAACTTTTCTGCAATTTTTCTTATCTAGAATAAATAGATGATAAAACTTATTGTGGTTCCTGAATATTTGTGCTAAATTAAGATTATTACTGCAAATATTCTATGCTCTAATAAATTGAAACTTTTAGCATTCTGTAATTTTAGAGGCACATTTGTAATATTGTTCATGTTTCTGAAGGCAGCGTTACATTCCAGCAGACACATTGTGACCTCTGTTGAATGAAAACTTAATGTAACAGATAAAGATGCAGTCATTGGGGTTAACTGTTGCAGAGTCAGGTAACAGTGGCAGCAGTAATGAAGATCCAGTGGATATGTTGGCAGCCCTACGGAGACAGATTCAGCCTCACCTTATGCTGGCTCTGCAAGCAGCACCTGAGAGTAGTAAAACCATCTCAATATCTGCATCAGGTAACCACAATCACCTGCCTCCAGTAGTCAGTGTACCTTCAGCATATGCCATGGTGCAGGTTAAGGCAGAACCAGTGGAATCTGCAGGAGAAGAAGATGAAGATGAGAACCTGGCTGATTTGCCTCTGAATCTTGTCTCTACGACGTTATCAGAACCACCATCTCAGTGACGATGGAAGGTAAGAAATGTTACATGTGAATGGCTGCAGAATATATATGTGATTGTTGATATGTTGTTGCCAGTAATCACGATGCCTGAAACAAAGTCTGATGTTTTGTGAACCTCATTTATTGGTCATACTCAAAGCTGCCTACCGTAAGGTGTGCAAGTACAGTGTTTTTGTTTGGTTAACATGATTGGTTAATTATGTTTACACATTTAATTCTTAAAAGTTTTAAGAAGAGTATGAAAAGAGAACAGCATAGTTCTTCAACGTTGTTTCCAAAATGGAATGGAGTGTAGCTGACAGCTTTATTTTACATTGAATAACTTTGTGTGTATCCTTTCTGTTGTTAAATTATTATTTTTTGGGCATTTTAATTTATATCATTTTAATGTTAGATTTGTTTATTCTTCTCTCCATGATGAACAGTCTTCCATATTGAAAGTAGAATGCACAGAAACAGTATTATTAGCCCCTTTCTGTACTGCGGTTTCTTTCCTAATGACAAGTGTAGGGCTTTAAACATGACAAGTGATTAGTGCACAAACCACAGTAATGTGTGCTTAGTGTGAGGAGTGGTTACATTTTAACATGATATTACTGAAGAAGTCTTCTATTGTGTCATATATAACGTGGATCTTCTTTTGATATGAGGTACTGTGATACTTGTGGGACCATTAACGGGATATTGGTAATGTAAAATTGACACCTTAAACCTTACAAATTTAAGTTCAGTATGTCTCAAAGGTTCCACTGAAGTCACTATGACGAGATTTTGTTGTACAGCCAGTGTAAACAAGACTGGTTCTATTTCTGAAGAATAATTTACTTAAGATAACTCTGATATTGAATGATGATTTCTTGGAAGATAGTGACAACATTCACACAAATCAAGTGTGGCATGATAGAAGAAGTGAAGATAGGGTTACAGTATATCAGTAAAAAAAAGAGTGAAAGAGTAAAGCTATCCCTGTAACAGGCTGTGAAGGCCCATAGGGTTGTGAGACGTTGAGGGCCCCACGTTATCTAGACAGTCTGCTCAAAGATGGCTGTAAGGTTGTCAGTCTTACTCGCTGCTGCGCTTTACTCCCCAGGAAAATTATTTAATTAATTCCTGGTATTCATTTCCGTTAGAGGCTGAGTCAGCCCCAGGGCCGTAGTGCAGCTGGAAGGATTAGGTCAATTGAAAAAAATCCAGGACCTCATCGGGACTTGAACCCGTGACCTTCCAGCTTGTAGCATAGTGCCTCAACCAACTACACTACCACGTGCCCCCGCAGTATATCAGTGCCTATTCTAAACGATTTGACAGCTTGTGACTATTGTATACAGATAAACTGTATAATATTATACTGAACATTGTGGACAAGTGGTTAGGTTTCCTTCGCATTTTGGATATGAAGTCAGTATTCCGTTTATTTTACAGTGAAGCTTTTATCATAAATGAAAAATGAATGTTGTTGTTCACTTTCTTTCTGAATGTGAATGTAATTAGGACTCCTGTTTGTCTGTTTTACCAAAGGTTGTGAATCCCATGGAAAGAAATTTCCAATTTTAAGCCAGGATTGATACAGATTTATTGAAAAGTGTTGATATTAATTAAAAATGCATGACAGTAAATTACAAGGCAGTCAGTGCCTTACAATGATGCAGCATTAGATAACTATACACACAGAGTTTTCCAGATTGTTTTGGTCCATGTTTGTCCTGATGTGTGGCTATTTCTCTGTTTGCATGTACCGGTCAACATTCATTCAAGTTTGCTCCAGTAATCTTAACCTCAGTTTCTAATTCTTGTTCTTCATGCACAAGGGGTTTAAAGTGGGTTAGAACTGTGGTGATGTCATTCATTATTTTTCTAAAAGGTGCGTGCTTGTATTTTTACTCCTCACCAAATGTACACTTAACCCACTTGGAACAATGTTCAGATGTTTTTTTTAATGGCATTTTGTTAATGTACTCTGTGGTACAATAAATAGAACTCCTCTTGTGTGAATACATGACGTTCTGCTGACAGGAGAATTGCCAGTTAAGTTTCTGGGTAGGACAGAAGACTTTGGTCTAGATTAAGTCTACAGACTTCTTGAGAGTTTTCACTCTATAACATAAGGTTTTAAATGCAGCATATTAAATCCATGGTCCTAACCTGTAATTTCCTGATATGTGAGATGTAAACTCTGCTTTTGGTGCATTGCATACTTAACCACAGACTTCTCTGCTGTAGTTCAAGTCCACGGATAAAACTGTATGTGTATGGTCCACTATTCAAAAGACTGAATGTATGTAAATTTGTGTTTGTCTCAGTCATTGGTATGCTGACTCTGTACATTGGCCTCTCATAAACATTACTTCGAGGTCCATCTCATGATGAAGTTAACATCTATTTTACACTTTTTCAGTGTGAAGCTAATGGTATGTGTAGTTCAGTGATTCTGTGTTTGCATAAGGTTCGAATAAACTGTACTTGCACATCTATGGCATAAGATGGAACTGAGCCTGTTATGTAAAGGACAGATTTCACTACTTTCTGTTTTGTGTGAGGGATGATTGGTATTTGTCATGGCCTCTACTGATATTGCAGTTTAAGCTGAAAGTTCTTCACATTATTTTCTCATAATTCACAAAATAGCACCATCCAGAAGAGTCTTTATACACTGGAATATTTATGTATCTCTTAAAAAGTTAATATGGTATGAAAGAATGATAGACTACCCCAGTAGTATGTACGTAATCCATAATTTTAACACTTTGCATTCCGGCAATTTAAATATTTAAATTACCCTGGGTACCGGCATTTTTAAACCTACTGCCCTAATTTGTGCACTGTTCAGTTTAAAAATTAGTATAAAATCTCCTAATTAATGTTATGAGCTAAAATTTTTGGAGAACACTTACCAATGCTCCTGGAAGTGCTTGAGAGTGTGATATTTCTGGAAACGTTCCCCTTTGTGAAGTGGCATTACACAGAACTTGCAAATGTAGACAGTCATACTCCTTTTTTTGTGAACTGTGCAAACACGGCATTGCCTAGAAGGATGCTTCCCCTTGGAATGTTCACTCTTCACAATTTTCACGATGGTATGTTTCCACATATCACCCGAGAGTCACCCAGGGGGGGTCCACATGAGGCCTTCATGGGGTGGGAGTTGATGGGCCTGGTGGCACTAAGTCTGTGTCTGACTCTGGTTCTGCTGCCACCATCTGGTCTGTAGCCCAGGCCTTTGCCACATTCATCAGAAATGCTTTGTATTTCAGTTTTGAATCAGGGTTTAGATTTTTGTAAGCCAAAAATGAATTGAAAATGGCACAATTTATAAGCCACAAGGCAACTTTCTTTGTCCACTTTATTGTTTTCCTAGGAAGAGAATAATAGGCCAAGTATTGATCGGCTGTTTCAGCTCCCTTCATGAACATATTATACTGAGAAATACAAATAGGCTTCTTTACTTGTCCATGTCTCCTTTGAACATCAGCCATGCTTGAATTGTGAATTGTGGTAATCATATTCACAAAACGAGTATCCGTATCTCCAAAAAACAGTTCTGCTGCTTCAGACACTTGCGTTGGGTCTGATGGAATTTGTTTCACCCCCAGATTTCCAGTAAACTGTCCCAGAATAGGCATTTTGTCTACTTTTCCCCATGTGGCTGTCCCCACAATGTTACTACTCGCATTTTCTTCGGAGCTACTGTCACTTTTACTGTCTGTGGCCACAATTCTTTGTTGTCCCCTGTCACTGCCACTGTCTGAGTCACTATCACTACACGTCTCACAAGGCACGTCAGATAGCTCATCGGAGAACAAGTCAGATATTTCTTGTTCTCCGAGAGATCGCTTGGTCTTTGACCGCTTTCGTCCTTGATCCACATTGCACTACTAACTTACTGCCTGGTACATACAGCTTGGAGATGAACAAAGGCATTTTCCTTTGGAGTGGGATAGGAAAACAGCAAAGTCATGTTACTGGCTACTAAACAAACATTTGGGAGGTCTATTACGCACCAGTTATGCATCTGCATGATGCCAGAGCAAGGTATACTGTGTTGCAACATAACGTGTCCTAAAATCATAATATTATGCAACCGGTCCGCCACGTTTAAAAGCAAAAATCATAATATTATGCGACTGTTCTGCAAAGTGTTAAGTTATTTTATGAACAGAATATAAAATTATGAAAAATCTTGAATGTAACTTTGAAATTCAGGTCACAGTAACTTATGAATTAATGTGAATCAGTTATTGAGACATCAAATTGTCCACATTCATAATTATTTTATGAATTTCTCTTCCTCCATTCATTAATTAATTGGGTCCCCTCGGCACTGCAGCCACTGATTGGCCTATTGTAGCCTGCTCTGGGTGATTATGATGATAGAGAATTTGGTGGAATGAAGATTGGCAAGGGAAACCGAAGTACTCTGAGAAAACCTGCTCTAGTGCCACTTTGTCCACCACAAATCCCGCTTGACCAGACCCGGGATCGAACCCGGGCTGCCGCTCCATACATTAAAATCTTTAATCAATATACTATAAACATTGGGCAAGAAATTTTTAAGTTATTGCTAAAAACTCCAGTTTCCTAGAGCATTTTGGTTATTTTAATTGTTTGCATGGTTGTGTTTTAGTAGGAATGACCTTCACAAAATGTGCCATTCAAATTGTAGATACATACTAATTTTATTTAGAATATACTCATATAAATTGTGGTGTGCTAAGTACTTTATATTTATGAGTACCATGGAACAATATATATCTGCATAAACTTTCCAGAGAAACCATTTAGTTTATACTGACGGCAGTTGACACCGAGGCAGACAGTGATTTTTCTTTCTTCACTGAATTATCCAGAAAAAGTCAAATCAGACGTTACACAGCAAATATTGTCATGCGTAGGGGTGACTGTAGGCGGGTTCTGGATTGGATGATTGGATTTATTTCACCTTATACATTCACAACTTAGGACTACAGGTAATACAACACTAACACTGATTTACACACTTTCCAGTCCACTGATACACACACATTATGGTTCTCAGTCTTCACTAGTCATATCCTGGCAACACATTTATCACAGTCTCACTGTAACTTCAAATCACACATGAAGTCTTCTTTTCGCAGCCTGTTTCCATTCTTGCCATTGTTCTGCAGCTGCTGGTTCTGAAGACTTTACTTAATTCAATTCCTTTGCTCCATGGCTCATATCCCAGCAGGCTGGTATCTTAAAGCTCGTCTCTTCACTTCTCCACTTGACTACTGTTCTGTTATTGCCAAACACTTCTAATGACCACTTTGCACAGACCACACAGAAAAAACATCCTCTACTGTTAAGGAGCCATGTTTACCGATTCATTGTCTAGCAATGGACATCCTATTCTTGAGCGTGTTAGCTTACGTGGGAGTGTGTTTACTGAGTCACTGCCTAGCAGTGGCTCTGTACATCACAATATAATGGAAAAAATATTTTTTTTACCTTTATCAGATGGTAAGCAAATGGCGAAGTCAAGAAAATGTGGATCTATATATCCACCCCTTTATATGCCTTCATTACATTGTGCTTAATTAGTTAAGCACAAGGACAACTTTACCATTTTATCAGATGGTAAATTGCAATGTACTGGTACATTTCAAAGATGTAGTGAAATTTGTCCTGCAATTAGTAGATTCTAAAGGGTTCTGATGATGATATCTAACAGTCAGGATTACTGGGTTTTTGGACTCTGTCTATTGTCCAGTATTTTAAAGAACATGATGTTTTTGAAACTGGGTCTGTTTCTGTCCTCAAATGAGGTGGGAGACACCTGCTCTGTTGGGTCCATCAGAAAGACCTAACCTCAGTCACTTAATGTTGTGTTCATTAGAGTACCAGATGATGGATAAAGTTCAAAAACCCAGTAATCCTGTTCGTCCTGCAACACCAGTATTTATTTGAAATGGTCAATGGCAGCTGCCCAGAACTTTTATTATGATTTAAATAA